AGGGGATAAAATCAGAAGTTAATTTGGCTACACCACTAATAAACTGCTTCACAGCATGTGGATATATGATAAGATACCAAACATCTTCAACTCCCATTAAACTTAATAGAAATTCTGCCTCAAGTCAAAATGGAAGATAAAGTGCAGAGCTTTTAATACTTCTCTTCCTTTCCAGCAACAAACCCTTTAAACTCTCCAAGCATATTAAATATCATTATTGCTAAAATAAAATCAGATGGATTGCTTAGCAGCTAATTTTGCTAGTCCTCCTTTGCAGAATTTCATGCTTGTTGGACAATAAATGATGATAGGAATGTATTCTAATATTTCTTATATGCTAGATTAAGAGTTTGATGTGCGAATATCACTAATGAGATATGTACCATGAATAACTATCATTTTACATTGATATGATTATTCTGATAAATATGGATAACCTGTATGGTATTTTCTTGTTTCCGTAGAAAAACTAATAATTTAGATTCAATTTAAGGGAATACACGAATTCTTTTTCCCCCTTAATGCTTTATCATTATGGGATACCGAGTGTAGATTAATGAGGGGGAAAAATGAATTTCAACAACTGTAAAATCAGGATGCAGCATAACAAAATTGACAAAAGTTTAGGGGGTCTGAATACTTTCTGAATGCACTGCATGTAATAAAGAATAAGTTGAGATGGTTTGGTCAAACAGAAAGAATGAATGAGGATCAAATTACAAAACACACATAGAGACACAATACAATATATTTAGATTTTACTGCAAATTATTCAGATTCGAAGTAATACAGAATTATCTGTTTACGAAACTACATGTATATTCATGTCCCCAACCAAAATATCTCCAACATAATCACAAGCATTCCTTGTACTTTTATCCATTAATGTATTAAGTACTCAAGGGTTCGTTACACATCATTGTCTTACTCCCTTCTCAATATTGAAGCACTTATTAAAAATTCTATTCTCACTCGTACTTTTCTTCATGATATCCCTCTCACATTCAGCAAGTTGACTTTCAGGTTCTTGTTTGTGTAAAATGTTGCATAATTCAGGCTTATCATATGCATTTGCTAAATCAACAAACACATAATAAAATTCCTTTCTCATATTCACACATTTCTCAATGGCTTGCTGAATAGCAAAAATTTGACCTCTGCATGCCATGCAGGCACAAAACCATCCTGTACTTCTGAAATGTTGTTCTTGTACTCTTAATTTAGGCTTCCTCTTTTTCCTTTAAGTATTATAATAATAGCCACATTCTTCTATCATTTAGGCATAGATGTTGTTTCACATGTTTAAAAAGTTGCACAGCTGTTTCACAAGCCCACCACATCTATATGTTAATATTTCCCCTTAAACTATTTAAACCTGCAACTTTTAACTTTTAAAAACATTTTCACATTCATTATTTCACCTACTTTTACTTCAATTCCATTCTTCCAACATATTTCTATAACTTCACTACAGACGTACACAATATTCCTGTTAGCAATTTCTCACTTGTTTCATCCCACATCTTTTGATCCCTTTTATTTTTAATTCTGTCCACTCTGCTGAAGGCTCATTACTTACCTCTCTTCATCTAATTTAAAATGTATTTACCTTTATCAAAATCTTTTAGCATTTTTCCTCCCTCTTAATCTTAACTGTCCCTTGTTATCTATGACTATTATTATTGTCACTCTCTTTCTCAATGCATATGTGTAATAGTATTTTTGTCATCTTCAGTTTTTGTAGTGATCATTCTCCTATATATTTTTATTCTCATCCAGTTCATGTTCCACCAAGCATCCTTTTTATACTTCTCATTATTGTAACTCCAACAAGATATTACATTCTCTTTCCTTATGTCTATTCTCTATTCATTATTTTGATAATCTATCTGCTAATATTATTTCTTCCCATGACCCATATTTTCTATTTCTTTTCTTTTCTCTTTTTGCTTCATGCCCACTTTTTTCCCAAGATCTACTCCTGACATAATTTAAAAAAATAGTTTGACCCACATTTGGCAATCTCACCATCCTTGTGTCCTACACTAATTCTGTCAATTGTTCATCAAAAACAATCCAGTCAATCATGCTTTTATACTTATATGTATTCCTTTTTCACACAAACTGAGTAGACTAATGCTTAAACCACATATTTGGAGCCAACATTTTCAAAGCAAATCTTCAATGAATTACTATGATTCTAATTTATGATTGAGTCTCCAAATAGTGAAGTCACTTACTTTTTCTATACTTTTTTTATCTTGTTCCTTTTCACCTAATTGATTTTTCTCCTGGAATAGCGTTCATTCAGAGTGTTCCACAATTTCTCCTAAAACTACTATTTTGTTCTTCTATTATCACCATTCCTTTGAGAGGATCTCAATATCAGGATTTCTATTTGGATATCCACCTATCACAAAATAGTTGACCTATGCTTTCTAATATACATTTTATTCCCTTTACTTATAATTAAACCTATACCTTCATTGCCTTGCATGTTTTAGTGAGTCCATTGCACATGATCAGATTACTTTCATTCTCCTTTCTCTTAGTTTCACAGATATATTTTTCTTTCTTTCTTTCTTTCTTTCTTTCTTTCTTTCTTTCTTTCTTTCTTTCTTTCTCTTTCTTTCTTTCTTTCTTTCTTTCTTTCTTTCTTTCTTTCTTTCT